ATAATATTATTAAGAATTTCATTTTTATTGTAAAAATAAGACGTTTTTTCGGTTTTTAAAAAAAAAATTTAAAACAATAATATAATTGATAATTAAATTAACAAATTAACAATGTTTTCAGAAAGAGTTTTTTTCTTACTGATGCTAATATTGGTAGTTAAAGTTGCTTTTATATAAATAAACTTACAAATAGATAAAAATAAAAATAAAAACCTTCAAATATTAATGATTTTTTAGGAATAATAATTTTTTTTTTTTCTTAATATATGTATAAACTATTAACAAATACGTTTTTTTTTTTTTCGTCTCAAAGAATCTAATAGTTGAAGTGATCTAACTGGTTTTTACACGCGAGAAAAATAATAACTTTCTTCAAAAAATTTTCGATAATTAAAATGTTAATGGATAAACAAAAAACTCATTGCTTCTTTTCTATAGAATTATGATATTGACAAATTATGTTTACTAATTGCGACCTCAAATTATTTGGTCAATTTTTAAAAATAATTCTAAACAGAATTAGATTCTAAAATTTATTTTGTTAAATTCTTATTTTTGTTGACGCATCATTATTAAAATAACTCGTTAGATTCTTGTTATGGAAAATATTTTAATGAGATTATTATTGAGTGAATAATTTAAATAGATTTTGTGTTAATTTCATTAACGAATGAGTGCTTTTCGATGAGTATCATGGCGAATCTTTATTGGAAATCTTTATTGGAATCATCCAGTTTGGAAACCCTGCAGCTTAATATTTCTTAATCATCTTTTTGTAAAGGCCTACCAATTTTTCGTCGGCAAATGCAACTACTTGTAGCTCTGCGTATTCCTAATGCCAAACGTATTCTCTGTGTGAGTGGATACTGACCCGAGTTCTTCTTCATGACTAGAGACTAGAGTTGGTACTTAATTATCCTCCAATTTTCAACCGAGATCCTGCCATCGTCTTGACCCCTGTCTACTTCAGCCATTATTAGACGGTTTTCCAAGATCTCGTGAAATGGCTTATATATCGGTTTCGATTCCACCGTGTTCGGTGGCTTTCTGAGCTGCCACGTGATTTCTCGGTTCTTCTGTTCCTCTCGAAATTCTAAACACCGATCGACGTTCTCTGTAAGTGCTCTGAAAAGGCTTTATGACTCCTGTTGACATGCGTGTCACGCCTTGCCTTTGGATTCACTTGACCTGACTTTGTCACAGCTTCGTGTCTGCCGTTTCGACTCAGGTTCCGCTTCTTCTGTTGAGCTTCCTTTGGTTCCGAATTAGTACTTGAAGTATGTTCAGTACCCACCTGCGGTTTCTTGCTGGAAATTGCTTTTAGACGATATTTCTCTCGTTATATGCGAGTTAGCTTTGGTCATTTTCCTTTCTGGCTTTTGACTAGTACCAGACTCATTTAGTTTCTTATAAAAATACACGTCTCCCTTGCTGACCAACCGGGTAACGAGTTTCGGAGAAATAATATCTATCTAAGAAGAGATCCACTATACTTAGTAGGAAAATAATTCAGAGGGCGCCAGGTGTCCGGATAGTTCGTACCTATAGTACAAAATGAGAAATTACTTTCAGTAAATAAAGTTCATCAAGTATATTATTGAAAATTAAATAAAATTCAATATCAAATTGATCTTGAAATAAATGAACCAATAAAATAAGCAGCGAATTTTTAAATTTTACAGTGAACTGTTTTTTTTTTCATTATATTTATATAGACACAGATATGAAATTATTATTCATTTACGATTATAAAAAATTATTGCAAATACAAAATTTTCGCATAAATATCAAAATTACATTTTAACAACATAAAAATTAAAAAATTTGGAAAAATATATTGTTAGTAACACATACATATATGTATATATTAATTCAATTAAATTTTACGCAAGTCTGAATAGATTTGACAATGAATAGTATTACAGTTAATCATATACAGTGAAATAAATCATAAGAGAATAGCATATTATACATAATAAAAATATAACAGATATTACAATACAAGGTCCATACTATATGATTTGAAAGGTTATATTATTACACTCATAGATTGCAATATTCAAAACTCATTTCAAAACTGAAAGCGTGAAAGCATTTATGAATTTTATATAGCAATAATGAAGAAATGTAGTTTTATAAAAATATAAGAAATTTATCACAATTTAAACTTCATTTCTTAATTTTTAAATTATTTCTAATTTAAAATATTTTCTTAAAAAATTTTTAATTTTTATTTGTTCTGCAAAATTCAGCCATAACTTTGTGCCTTATTTATTCATTTTATGAAAAAAACTAATAGAAGCTCCTACCACAGTGGTAATTAAAAAATCATAAATTTTAAGTTTAATTTAATAACAAATCTTTTCTTTTTTTCGAGGATTGCGACCTATTATGTTAATCAGATTATTAATATTAACATCCAATCTAAAATTCAAATAGTTTTTATATTTTTTTAAAACAGGATACTTTGTGCACGGAATAGTTTTTTTGTTTTTTAGAATATTTTAATCTCAAATTTGCATAATATCGTCTTATGTTTGTTTGCTCTTGAAGCAAAAAACTTTTGCAAATCAACAATATTGACCATGAACTTTACCAAAAAAAAAAAAAAAAATAAATAAAATTTTATTTATTTACTACATGAAATCAACAAACTAAAATACAAATTTCTTGTTTTCCGATCAGTCTTTTGAAGTTTGAATCGAAAATGCTCTAAACATTTCTATATACAAGTATATTATTCTATTCTTATTGTTATATATACTTTTCATATACATTGTTTATGATGAATACGATTTTCATACGATATGGTAAGACTTTGTATACCAATAAGCAAATTTAAAGGACATTTTCCTTAAATATATTTTTAAAATTCTCTAATTAATTATTCTGCCAAATATAATTTTATTTGATTAATAAAATTTAATATTAAATATTTAATATTTAATATTAAATTTTATTAAAATTTTTATTTTCTTCTATTACAATAATTATATTCAAAACAAAATATTTGTAACAGGATTTTCTCTGCGTTTTTCGCCTTATTATTTCTTGCCAAAACTTGAAGCTGATGCACTAGCACTAGCACTAGCACTTCCACCTCTAAATCCACCACCGTACGGTCTTCTAAATCCTCCTCCACCAAAGTATGGTCTACCATATATATTGGCCGAAACTATTGTTAGCAACATAACAAATATTAAAAATAACAATTTCATTTTTATTCTCCTTAAAAATTCTTCAACAAATTCAATTCTTCTAATCAAAGTATGAACTGTTTGTGTCCTTTTATACTCTTAGAAAAAATTTTAAATTAATTATAAAAATTTTTTTGCAATAGTCTTTTAATAAAAATTAATATTGCAAATTTAGAAAAAACAATCGCAAAATTACAAAACAAAATCTTTCTCCTATATAGAAATACTCGAAGCAAGTACCAGTTTTACTTGTTCTAATGCAATTATAAAAAAAAAAAGACACTGTTTACGTATTTGAAAATTATAATTAATCATAATTAAAAAGTAGATTTTTTTGTACAATATTTTAGAACAAATGAATAATAAATTGTATTAATTTTAGCTTATAAGATCATTAAACCCCTTGACATGCTAAACTACCAGAATATAAATTTTTCAACATTCAAATAGAACATTCTTTTAAATTAATCTATTAAATTAAGAGATGATTCAAAAGCTTCTACTGATATACACTATATAAAAAATCTCTATTTTCTAATTAATTCTTACACTATGAAACATCGATGGAGATACACTATGGACATCCGAGACTGGATGTAACACCAATAAAAACGAGCTTAAATAGACCGAGTAACTAGTTTAGTAACATAAAATATATTTTCCATTTTCCCTTTATCGCCATCGTTTTATAGTTAATCCTACATATATAAGTATGTACACATTAAATAGTTTTGCATGTCTTACGTAAGTTATATCGGACTTTGTTTTTTATTTCCTTAAAACATTATACTCGTAACTTTATTAAATACAAAATGTAAATTAAATAAAATATATTTATGTAAATATTGTCAAAGTAATTAAAACAAAGCTTAATTTAAAAATTCAACAATCCAGTTTTGAAAAACTGTCAGGCCTATAGCTTATTATTTTCAAAACAATTTAAAAAAGCCATTAAATTAAGTAAATAATTTATGTTAATTATTGTAAATAATAAATATGCTAAGAGCAGCGCTTGAGATCGTTATTGATTGACGAATTCAACTGGAACCATTGAATTTCATTTTCAACTGAACCATTGAAGATTGAGCTTTGAATAAAAAAAAGAAGTTCTTAAACAACAAACATGTGAAATACCAAGATCAATTACATTCTGAAACTTAAATTGATTGGGTCAACTTTAATCTGAGGAATAGCAAACTATACGTAGATAGCCATTTGATTTACCAAAAAGGATATATAGGCTTTTTTTGGTAAGACGCTTTTGCTCTATACATGCATACAGGAATGCCGTATTTTACTCTTTAAGAGTGAATTCCCCGAATTTTATAAATATAGCTTAAAAAATTTAAATTTAGAATTCAGAATAATTTCAAATTACACCGTGTTATTATGTGTGACATTGTTTTTATTCGGCCCTATGGTTACTTAATGTATGCATTGAGTACGTGACTATTATGATTGTTTTCGTTAGCTTCCTCCCTTAAATATTAAGTCATAATGCTACTTTTGAGAGATAATATTAATTTTTAATTAAGTATTGTGTGTAACGTAAGAGTAGAAGAAATTTCTTTGCCGCAAAGGTTTTAACTTAACACTTTTATGATTGATTTATGTTTAAGAATATGGTAATAACATTTAGTAACAAGCATTTCTTTAAAAACAAATACTAGATTTATAAATTTTTAAATTGTACCACCATCAAATTTAATTTAAGCTTTGCTATTTAGGAGCTCATATACACAAAACTTTTTCCAATATATTCACGCTTTCTTAAAAAAAACCATTCATTTTATTTATAAAAATTATTGTTTAAACTATTTTATTTCTTGTATTTTTTAATAATTTAATTTCTTTTTTTTTTTTAATATTAACACTTTAATAACAACAATTAATTTCATTTAACTATATTTTGAATTTGGCATATGAATCTATTATTTTCCAGCAGCCGCCGCTGATGCTGCTGATGATGAGCTACCACGTCTGCCACCGCCACCAGCTGCAGCACTAGCACTAGCAGCACTAGCACCGCCACCACCACCACCTGCTGCTGCAGCAGAAGCAGCTGCAGAACTACTGCCGCCGCCACCTGCAACAATAGTAAAAAACAAATTTTCAGTTTTATTCACTTAACCTTCTTAATTTTTTTAATTATCCTTTACCCCCAAATCCAGGTCGACCATAGGGTCTGTGACCAAAACCACCTCCAAAACCGCCCCCACCGAAACCACCAGGACGACCAAATCCGCCTCCACCTGGATAGAAACCACCTCCACCAGGATAGAAACCACCGCCGCCTGGATAGAATTGAGGCAGTGCTGCTGCAATAGTGAAAACTAATCCAAGAATTATTAATGTTCTCATTGTAATAGCTTTACTTCAATCAAAATTCTGATCGTTTATGAGAAGCACTTACGTTTTATATATCTTAGAAACTACTCAAAATTGTCATCTCCCACTGAAGAATTTTGACGCAATTAAATGAAAAAAAAAACAAAAAAAAACAAGTTCTTCTAGTTTTTATTTTTGTTTTTTTTTCTTATTTCAATACATAGTTTTTTTTTCCGAATCTTTTATAATAAAAATATTTATGTTAATTATTTATGTATTTTTACTTTTATGTATACATAACTATATACAAAAGGTCACAGAACTAATTTACCAAAAAAAAAAATAAATTTTTTGTATTATAATTTTAATAAAATAAAATAAATTTTCGAATTAATTTTACTCAAATAAACTAAAGTAATATTGCCAAGGCTAAAATTTCGCATCCAATATGCTAATTTTAAGTTAATCTTATAACAATAATCGTAAAGAAAGTACTAATCTCATTTTCTTATGGTCAAATATTAAAACTGAAAGCAGCAAACATTTTATTAATTATTGTAAATTACAAAATATTTTGTCAGAGAATTGATTTTTACATTGTATACCTTATACCTGCTGAAAAATTGAATTTCGGTTTTCATATCATTAGAAGTAGGGGTTTTTTAAATCCTTTTATTTATAGCCTAATGTATTACAAAATGATCCGGGAATGATCAATCAAGACGGCATTAAAATTGGTAGTAAAAATTTTATTAATAAAATCACATTCTACAGTTTCTATTAAAAATTATTAACAGAAACTGTTCCTTAAATTAATGAAACTAGTTTTAGTAGCCCGAGGAACAAATTTTCACAACAAGAAATTTCTAATGATCAACTATTTTTGATATAAACTATCAACATATGACGGCATATGACATAGTTTTACTTTTCATTAGACATGCTTCTAGTACTTTTGGAGATCTTGAACTTCTGAAGAACGATAATTAAAAAATTCCACGACTTTCAAGACTCTTAACATTATTCATAAGAATTGAACATTTTGAAACAGATTTTTATATGCACTTCGTGTTTAAAGATTTTAGTATTTTGGATTTTTTTAATTTTAAAAACCTTTTTTCGAAACATATAATAAAATTTGACATGCTTATTGCAAACATATTTTCAACGCGCTTAGTATTATTTTGTCGCAAAAGTACTTGGTTCAGAAGTTAGACAAGTTGCAAAATAGAATTAAAACCAATTTTATTCCACAAACACTTAAAATATTTGAATACTTCTAAAAAAAAAAAAACTGCTCTTTGTTCTCTAAAAGAATTTTATGTAAAAAAATTTTTTTTTAAAAATAAAGTGTTAGAATGAAGAATATCATAATAAGAAGCAAAAACAAATTAGTAAACATTTTTGTTTTTACAAGTCAGTTGAAGACAATTAAAATTTTAATTCTTGGCGCCTTATCGAATTAATATTTCGATTTTGTTTCCGGTATTTTGAATAAAGCTTAAAATTTTGAGAAAAGCTCATAATTTTGTTTTTATTTCTATTTATTTACAAACATACGCACATGTACACATATATATAAGTATCTGTATGAAAAGAATAACAATTTTTTAATTCCATCATTTTTTTATTTACATTGATTTTAATATTTTCCAATATTTTATTTATATTTGGTAATTACTCAATATTTAAATTCATCATAATTAATATTCTCAAATTCTTAATTAAATCTTACATCCAAAATCATAACAAAAATAAAATTATAGGAAAAGAATACATTCGTATATTTTAAATTATTACAAGTCATTCAATTTTTATATCAATAAAATAAATATCAATAATTAAAAATCTGGTTACGTTTTACAATTTAGAAAATTAAAAATATTTTATATCTTTATTTTAATTGGCCAAATTTCAATTCCAACTAAATGTTATTCCGATTTTATAGTCGCAGATGGGAAATATACGAATTTAAGTTTAGAATTTCTTAAATATTTGGTAATATTATTTAATGAGCTACTGTATATATACAAATCATGCTTGATAATTGATTTTTAACATGGAATAAGAATTTAAAGATTTGCAAATATCAAAAATAAATATTCATAATTTATTAATGGGCAATCTTTAAGAACAATTTTTTCGTTCTTTATGTTTCTGGAATAACTATGTATAATGGATTATTTTGTGAGGCTTTAAATATATACACGTACACCTGAATTCAAATAAATTCATAGACAAACAAACAAAGGTTTAAAAATGTAATTATTTTGAGAAATTTTTGCGAAATGAAACCAATATTCTGAAATCTTAATCAAAACTAAATGTTGATTAGTAAGAATCTTGTTAACAAATTGAAATGAAATTCAATATTGCAGCACTATTCTGGGCACAATATAATATCTGCAATTCAATATATTAGCAAATATGTCATAATAATTATTAAATTTGTAATTTAATACTTTTGGAATTTAATATATCGGAAAATATTTTAAACAAAATTGCATTTAGAATGACATTTGAACAATATAATAAAGAAAAACAAATTGTTTTTTTTTTTAACAAATTTTAAAGCTTTTGATTTTTATTTCTTCTTTTTATTAATTTTTTTATTTTTTTTTTTTCTTATTAAACTAAAACTGTACATGATATCATTTAAGATTTCATTTTCATTTTTCAACACTTATAATCCTATAATTTATTTGCCTCGACCACCAGCTGCAGCAGCTGAAGCAGCAGCTGCTGATGATCCACCTCCTCTACCACCACCGGCGGCTGCAGCAGAAGCAGATGCTGATGCAGCTATAATAAAAAAGAAAATATTTTTTTTTAATAAAGGTTTACATTTATGAACCTATATTTTTTCTTATATAATCAAATAATAATTAAACTTACCACCACCACCGCCACCACCGAATCCTGGACGTCTATGATGGAAGAATTGTGGGGAAGCGAATGCTATCGCAAATACAATTAAAAATGTGTAAAATAAAAGAGTGAATTTCATTTTTTATAATTTTAATTATAATCTTCTTTGTTGGCAAATAAAATTTAGAATGATTATTAAAAAATTAGAATCAGTCTTTTATATCAGAAATAAGTGCAAATTCGGTATTTTTTTTTTGTTGGTTTTATATTAAGAAATTATAAAGAACTTTTCAATTTTTTCAAGTTTTAATAATATTTTTTTTTTCTTGTTTTCCTATTAAGTTTGTCTTTTAACAAGTTTTACTAGTTTTTGATTAAAATTGACTAATTATATATTATATTTTAATTTTGTTTATCTTGTTGAATTGTATTATGAAAATAGTTATTTTATGCTAATAATTATAAAATTATTAATTATATAATATGTTTATTTACATGTGTACATAATATTCTACAAATATATTGTATATATAATATGTACTCGTAACATATGTATAACCCACTTAATTATGTTCGTAACAAAATTTTTTTTACAACTTTTGAGATTATTATTATCAAGAAATATTATTGAATAAAAAATATTGAATATTGCTGAATGTTTTTCTTTCTCGTCCTTTAATTAAAAATAACTTATTGTGATATTGCATATGCGTAGGAGTTTGATTGTTTTTGTTGCACTTTAGTAGAAAGGCAATTTGAATAAAAACTATTATGTAAGTACGTCTTTGTAAGCTGATCTATCAATTTCATAGTAACTCAATTTGAATTCAGATCTGTTTTAAGATTCTATTCAATTAATTGAATTTCAATATAAAATAGTTGCTCATAACCTCAATTTTCAGAATTAAATTAAATTTAAATTATGTGTAGAAAAATGAAAATGACTAATTTTTTATTTAATAACACTTTATTTTAAATCTTCATTGACATTTGTTGCATTTTGTTCATTTTGCTGATCTACATTTTTATTATTAATCGCTGCATGATGACTGGATGATGCTGCGGCCGCTCCTGCTGCTGCAGCAGCTGCTACACCTTTTAAATGTGAAAATTAATTATTAATTTATAATTATTTGTGTTATACAATTATATAAAATACTTAATATTCGATATGTCTAAATGTTTTCAAACTTACCGAAAGGTTCAGGTTGAGGAGTGGCAAGTGCCGTTAGGATTAAAATTAACAAAAAAGCTAATAAAATCAGGTATCTCATATTGTTCTATTTACGAGTTATTTAAATGTACTTGCGTTATTTACAAGATAAAATTGTTTTTAATATTTTTCAATTGAAAAACAAGTCCTTTTATAGAAGAAATGTTTTTCTAATTTTGCAATTTTTTTAAAAATAATTCAATTCTCTTTTAGTAAATACAGTTTTTTGTCCACGTTTGCAAATGTTAATAAGAACCACCAACATAGAATCAATTATCAAAGTCAATAATTATATTAAAACTGTTATGGTGTATTAGTAATTGCTTGTTGAAATTTTAATGTAAACGTTTTTTTCCTCAAATCCATTTAAATCTTTGAATTAATCTTTGGAATAAATTAAATAATATTTACTTATCTTTAAGTATACATACTTAACAAATTGGAATTGATTTAATGGAATTTACAAAGAAAAATTGTAGTTTTTATGATGTTTATTTTTGATTAATTAATAATTAATATTTCGAGAGTTTTGTTTATATTCATACTATAATTTGTATACGCAAAAATATTAATCATATAGTAGAGTCGTACTTGACGAAAAAAGAAAAATGGAAAACGCTCATTTTTAGAGCTCGCAATTAAAATTTTAAGTAATTTGAATTTTCAATAACATGACATTAAGAAATTTGTTATTTTTTGGACTAATATAGCCCAAAATTCGAAATGTTATTATTTGCAGTAAATTTTAAATAACTGCAGTGAATTATTAACTTATTTTTTTTTTGTAGTGAAAATTAAGTTGTTTCTACAAATTGCAAGTGATGTTACCGAATATAGGTATAATATTATTAATAGTCTCTAATTATATTATTGCTCCCTAAATATATGCAATTCTTTCTTAAAGAAAATGTTATTACGTATGTATGTATAAACTATAAATCAGTTTCAATAAAGCACTTTAAAATTATTAGAAATTACAATAAATTAATTAGAA